ATCTAGGGTTGAGCATCTATGCGAACATAGTTTGGCCCAGGTCGATTAATGCGGTGTTCACGCTTCGAGAATAAGGCCCACATGCGAGCGACTCTTTGTCAGCAACGCGACAGTCTAAACAGTTCGTACCTTCAACAGCCAACCAGCTTGTATGATTGGACCGGCTCGATTTGTTAATTAAGTACCGAGTTATTACCCAAACTGTTAATAACGGGCTTATCTGAACCGTTTTCAAAATGGCGCGAATTCGTGCCGAGATCAAGATTGTTGAAATAAAATTCGCGCGAACCTTTTAAATGTTTCGTTGGCAAATCGCAAGCCCATCAAGTTATGAAATAAAAAAGGGGGAAACGCGACGAGCTCAGATAGCAACAGGAACAAGTAGAGAAGTTGGAACATGTAGCACTAGTACAGGTTAGAATTCATATGGAATTCAAGTTTTATTTAACTTGAGTGGAAAGTTTTCCCCTGCTGCTACACAAACTCGGCCAAATCTTAGAGAGCTGACTACGCCAAGGAAAAGTTGTCTGCGTCTACAATCTTGCTGCGAAATCTCCCTCCATAACTCGGGCCCTGGATAGGGGTTGACTTTTGCCAGGCACCCAAGGACCCTCAGGAGTGAGTGACCCCAAGGAGATTTTCAGCATCGGGCAAGGCTGTTAACAGCCAGTTTAGTATGTATCGATTGTCATAGACATACTTTACCAAGTTAGGGTGTACGAGTTTCATAAGAGAACTTCTAGCTTAAGTAATCAAGCTGAAAAATTGCTATCTTTGGGAGCACATGCAGCCAGGAAAACCATACTCATGCCTCAAATAATGTGAGAAAGAAGAACGATCAAGTGTCCCTAAGAATATTCAAAATTATAGAAAGTATATATGCATGTGTTGAAATTTCAAGGTGTGTACAGTAGGGGGTTTGTAGCATTGCTCAAACATTTAAAATCAAGCATGCATAAACAACAGGGCGATTCATGGCAGGATGAGCAAGCGGAAAAGCAACCAATTGGAATCTTGGAATCTTAAATTTCCGGAAAAGATGCTAGAGAATGTGAGCACAGCGTAAGAGCCATTCAAACCTTGAAGCAGCTCACTCACATGGCTCCACATGCAACAAGGTTGCTTAGTCCTGGTAGTATTGGCCCGGTCAGCTTGTTTGTTTGAAGAAATCTGCAAATTGCAAACAAGGAGGGTAAGGTAAGCGGATTTAAGGATGGAAAACTGAGTGAAGTTTTTTCATCCATGCCAATCAACAAGTGAAGTTGCAAGGAGAGTTACTTCCAAGTACCAAAGATGGTAGACGAGTTCTAAAAAACAGACGTGAACACACAGCATCAGAGTGATTCATGCCACTCGTGGACGAGCTGAGCGGACCAGATCGATCTAGGATTTGCCCAACCGGCTTCGTTCGCAATGGAGCCAGGCTTACAACAAGCTTTTTTGCATGGCAATAGCCTAGATGAGCCGAGCCGCTGGCTCTTTGTACAAAACAGATTACACCACCTGGAACCGCATTAAACGCTAAAATTCTCTGCTTAAGACAGACAAAATGAGGGATGGTTGGAGACCGACAACAGAGGTTTGTGAAAGTACATCTATGCTCGCCCGTACCTCCTTGATCCATGCGGCTGCCCCCCACTTTCTGTGGCCGTTTGCGGTCCGGTACGCTGCGCATCAGCTCAACCTCTGGCCCCGTGTCTCCTTGCCGAAGACCTCGCCCACACTGCTGTGGACGGGGGAGGTTGGCGATGCGTCGCATTTCCGGGTCTGGGGATCTCGAGCTTTTGTCCGCGATACGTCCACGGACAAGCTCTCCTCCCGCGCTGTTCCCTGTGTCTTCCTTGGCTTTGTCCCTGACGCGTCTGGTTGGCAGTTTTACCACGCCACCTCGCGCCGGGTCCTGCCCTCTCAGGACGTCACTTTTGACGAGTCCGTCCCCTACTACCGCCTCTTCCCCTACCGCACTGCCCCGCTCCCCCCCCCGCCTCTCTTCCTCGCGCCAGGTGCTGCTGTGGTAGACCCCCTGCCTCCCCCCTCAGGGTGCCGCTCCCTCAGGTGTGTCCCAGGTAGACCCGGTTGAGCCTGTTGAGGTAGCTGTTGACTCTCAACCTGCTGCGGGTGCGGAGCCTGGGGGTGCGGAGTCTGGGGGTGCTGAGCCTGGGAGTGCTGAGCCTGAGGGTACTGAGCCTGGGGGTGCTGAGCCTGGGGGTGCTGAGCCGCGGAGTCCGGAGTATGGGGGTTCTGAGTCTGGGGGTGCTGAGCCTGGGAGTCCTACACCTGGAGGAGCTCTCTCCTCGGAGCAGCTGCGTGAGTGGTACTCACAGTACTGCAGCCTCAGGAGAGGTGCCTCTGGAGCCAGGAGTACTACTGGGACTGGTGCTGGTGCCTCCCCTCCTCAGCGGGAGCTGCCCTCTCTTGAGCGGATCCGTGAGTGGTACGAGCGGCGCTGCACTCTCCGGAGTGGCGCGCCTGGTGTCGCGGACCCTGGTGCTGGAGGTGCTGGAGGTGCTGCTGCTAGCGCTGCTGGTGCTGGAGCTGCTGGAGGTGCTGCTGCTGGTGCTGGAGGCTCTCCTGGTGCTGCTGGTGCTGCGGACCCTGGAGTTGGAGCTGCTGCTAGTCCTGAGGACCCTGGTGCTGGAGCTCCTGCTGGTGCTGCGGACCCTGGAGTTGGAGCTGCTGCTGGTGCTGCGGACCCTGGAGTTGGAGCTGCTGCTGGTACTGAGGACCCGGGCGTTGGAGCTGCTGCTGGTGCTGCGGACCCTGACGTTGGAGCTGCTGCTGGTGCTGCGGACCCTGGAGTTGGGGCTACTTCTGGTGCTGAGGACATTGGAGCTGGCGCTGCTGGAGCTGCTGCGGGTGCTGGTGGTGTCTCTACTGGTTCTGGAGTCGCTGCGCGGCCCCGGCCGTACTTCGTTCCGCTCCTTCAGCAGGTTCTTGGTCCGGCTCCTCCTCCTTGTCCTGCTCCCTCCTTAGAGTGTCCTCCGCCTGTCCAGTCACAGTCACAGTTACCGCCTGCCTCGCCGCTCCCTGGTCCTTCTCCTTACACTGGTCCCACAGGAGGTCTTGCAGAGCGTCGTGAGCCTGAGTCTCGTCCTGCGTCGCCTGTTCGTGCTGCTCGCACTGGTCGTCGTGTCCCGCGTGAGCGTCCTCCTCCTGTCCCTGGCACTCACTACATGACCCTGCGTCCCTCCACTGCTCCTCAGTGTGTCCCTCTGCCGTCTCCTCCTGCGTCCTCTCTTCCTACTCTTGCTGACCCGGAGTCTGACTCCCTTCGTGCTGCCCGTCCTACTGTCACGCGTCTCCTCGCTACTGTTGTCACTGACCCTACCTTTGAGTCCTCTGTTGCGTCTGCTCTCGTCGCTGAGTTAGTTGACTTTGCTGCCGCTTGTCGTCTAGACTACGCCGCTAGCCTAGTTGCTGCGTCTGAGTCTGTCTGTCCTCCGTCCGTCGGGGGTGAGTGTGCTCTTGGCACGGACGTCCTTGAGGACAGACAGGAGGAGTTCCAGTGCTTGGCTGCTGCTTCACCTCATCTCGTGTCCATGCTAGTTGCCCCTGAGGGAGACCCGGATGCACCAGACATCCCGACCCCGCGTTATGTTGCTCGAGGCTTCAGTCAGCGTGAGGGAGTCGACTTCTTCCAGACCTTCTCCCCCACCCCGAAGATGACCACTCTTTGGGTGCTGCTGCACATAGCCACTCAGCGCGACTACGAGCTTCACTCTCTTGACTTCAGCACTGCTTTCTTGCAGGGTAGCCTGCACGAGGAGATCTGGCTGCGCCGCCCTCCTGGCTTCACTGGGTCGTTTCCTCCTGGTACCCAGTGGAGTCTCCGGCGGCCGGTCTACGGTCTCCGCCAGGCACCACGTGAGTGGCACGACACACTGAGGACGACACTTGCGGCACTTGGGTTCGCGCCTTCTACTGCTGACCCGTCGCTGTTTCTGCGCACAGACACTTCGCTGCCGCCGTTCTACATCCTCGTGTACGACGACGACTTGGTCTTTGCCACTGCTGACACTGAGGCTCTCGCCCACGTGAAGTCGGAGCTGCAGAAGAGACACACGTGCATAGACCTGGGTGAACTGACAAGCTATCTTGGCTTGCGGATCACCCGGGACAGAGCACGGCGCACCATTACCTTGACTCAGTCACACATGGTGCAGCAGGTCCTTCAGCGCTTCGGCTTTACGTACTCCTCGCCTCAGTCCACTCCTCTGCCTACCGGTCACTCGCTCTCAGCTCTGCCTTCGGATGAGTCCATAGAGCCGAGTGGCCCGTATCTAGAGCTTGTGGGCTGCCTCATGTACCTGATGACCTGCACTCGACCTGACCTTGCATACCCTCTTAGCATCCTTGCACGCTATGTCGCTCCTGGCCGTCACCGGAAGGAGCACATGGATGCCGCTAAGAGGGTGTTGCGCTACTTGTGCAGTACGTCGGGCATGGGGCTAGTGCTTGGAGGGCGAGACCGAGTTGTTCTCACTGGGCACTCAGACGCTTCTTGGGCGGACGACCAGGCCACTCAGCGGTCGTCTCAGGGTTACACCTTCAGCCTTGGCTCTGGTTCAGTTTCTTGGCGTTCTACACGTTCTTCTTCAGTTCTCAGCTCCAGTTGTGAGGCTGAGATCTACGCCACAGCCATGGCAGCCCAGGAGCTACGCTGGCTCACCTACCTGCTGACCGACTTGGGAGAGCGGCCTCGTTCTCCTCCAGTGCTGTACGTCGACAACAAGGCTGCCATTGCCTTTTGTGAGGAGCACAGACTGGAGCACAGAACGGTAGTGGAGGTGGTCCAGAGACATGAAGCCGAGGGGGGTGTTGACTTTGACAAGCTTTCCAGGCGCCTGGGTGCCCGTCTGCGGAAGTACGACAAGGAGGACAGAAGGCGGGTTAAAAAAACGCGGCAAGCATCGGAGTTGCAAGTGAGCACGTTGCAACAGAAAGTGATGGCTGACCCGAGTGATGTTGTGTTACAGGCGGTGTTGACGAGCAGGGAGGCGATGCTGGAAAGGTATTGGGACAGCTGGAGGGATTTCCTGCAGACAAGAACAGGGCTGAAGGTACAGCTTAATGGTGAAGCGCCAACTGCTCTCCTGTCAGCGATGGTCAAGAGCAGAAAAGCTAAGACGGGGATCAAGGAATTGGTGCGGAATGGCGTTAGCCATACGGAAGCCAAAGAGATACTGGCAGCGGCCACGAGCCATTTCGTGGAGGTGTTCGGTGAGCAGTCAGTAAGCGACGGGACAGAGCCGGTGTTGGATTGGACTCCGCGCAGGGTATTGGAGGAGGCATCTGCTGCGGCTATATCAAGGGACTGGACGGAGGCAGAGGTTAAACAAGCCATACAGGAGATGGCCAACGGCAAGTCGCCAGGCTGTGATGGGATCCCGAAAGAGCTGTTCCAGCACCAGTGGGAGTTGCTAAGGAAGCCGGTGATGGCCATGATAGAGGAGTTCGTGTCATCAGGGAACCTACCGGCGGTGGCGAACGAAGCGGTCACGATTCTGCTTTACAAGAAGGGGGAGGAGACAGATGTCAGGAATTACAGACCAATCACGCTGCTGACTAGCGTCTACAAGATTCTAGCTAAGGTGGTGGCGTCCAGGATGAAAGCGGTGCTCGACCAAGTGATTTCGAAGGAGCAGTTTGGGTTTTTACCTGGCAGGAGACTTACAGACGCAGTGTCGCTTGTGGCTGACTTGATTGAGACGGCCAAGAATGAAGACAGCGACTGGTATTTGCTCCTCATAGATTTCGAGAAAGCGTACGATTCAGTAAGGAGGGGCTTCATGCTGGAGACGATTGCCAAGCTCGGTTTCCCCCCGCGTTTTGTGGGTTGGATTGAGGCCCTGCACAGGGATGTTCACATGAGGCTGTGCATTAACGGATGGACTGGGGAGAAGATTCAGATGCGGAAGGGAGTGCGGCAAGGGTGTCCGCTTGCACCTTACTTGTTTTTGTGCGCGGTGGAGCCGCTCAGCCGTTTGGTTGAAAAGAGAGAGTTGGGGATTGTAGAGAAGGGCTGTGAAAGGCTCGCGTACGTGGGCTACGCAGACGACACCACGCTGCTGCTGGAAGGAGAGGCACAGTTAGCGGCGGCGGGCGCGGTGCTCCAAGACTTTGCGGCAGTGTCGGGGTTGAAGGTGAACACCGGGAAGTCTGCCGTGCTGCTGCTGGGGAAGAACGTGGAGAAGTCGGTGCCGGCTGGTTTGGGCTACAAGTGGGTGGAGAAAGAGACTGCGGAAAGATTACTGGGGGTGTGGATAACACCCGGGGGAAATGCAGAGATTACGTGGGAAAAAGCTTTCGACAGGGCAGCAGGGGAGCTGAGTAAATGGCAAGTAAAGTATTTAACGACGGGTGCGAGGGTGACCATCATCAACAGCTATATCATCCCGATCTTCCTCTTCCAGGCGCAGGTGTACCCTCCGGATGAACTGCTGTGGAGAAGGGTGGAGAAGCTGGTTGAGAATTTCGTGTCAGCAAACCATGCGGATACGGAGAAACACTTCAGACTATGGAGTGGCGGACTGATTTATGCGCTGAGAGAGCTGGGGGGACTGGGGGTGATCGATCCACGTGGGAGAATAGACAGCGTGGCCTTACGGTGCGCAGGGTTGACGCTGTTGCAAGAGTGCTCCCTACGACGTGGGCTGGCGGAAAGAGCGGCGGGATTGCCTCTGGGGTGGGCGACGCTCTACGCGCACAAAGCAGTGTTAAAAGGGGGTTTGATTCGTAGTAGGAGGTGGGCGAGAATTTGTAAAGCGGTGCTTAAATCGGTGGCGGTGGAGGTGAAGGAGGTGGCGTCGAGATGGGAAGCGGCGGAGGAGTTCCTCTGTTTCAACAGGCGGATCATCCACCGGGGAAACGCTCCTTTTGGCGGACAGAAAGGCACTGAGAAGCTGAGAAAGTGGAAGATGCGGGATGTGGTTCTGCGGAAGTGGGATGGCACGCTGGTGTTAAAGTCAAAAGAAGCGCTGGAGAGAGAGCTGGGGGGGGGAAAAGAAGCAGAGATGGCGCTGAAGGCCTTCGCGGCAGCCCCGGAGCAAAAGTGGCTGTTGTCGCCGCTGACGGCGGACGAGGTAGCAGCTGCGTCGTCAGTGGTGTGCACTACATTACCGGGGGGCCAGAGGTGTCTGTGGGAGGTCTGTGCCTGTATGGGAAGGAAGGTCGAGCTATGCGGCCTTGACAGTAACGGGGAGCGAGCGGCGTGGAAGGTGAAGATTGTGCTGGGATGTGACAGTGTGGTGCCTGTGGTGTTCTCCAAGTCACGAGCTGTAAGGGAGGTTAGAGATGCCAGGGCGCGTCTGCTGGTTTCGTCTCTGTTCGAGGGGGACGAGGTGGCCCTGCTGAAAAGGCTCAGGGGGCAGGGCAAGGGTGCGGAGGCGGTAGAGGCCAAGAGGGCGAACTGGGAAGCTCGGGCGGGCAGGAGGATTGATTGGGACCGAGGGAGGCGCATCAGGGACTCCCTGGTCACTCCGCTTCGTGCGCGGGATGTGCTGCTCCGGGCGCAGAACCTGAACCTCCAAGTGGGGGAGAGGGTTCCGTTTCTGAGAGGGGGGGACGCTTGCCCGCTCTGCGGGGAGAAAGAGACATTGGAGCACTGTTTGTTGGAATGCACGCGTGTCGCGCCGGTGGTGGCTGTTGTCAAAGCAGCGCTCGGCATGATGCAGCCGACGAGACACGTGGACCGGTTGGCAGACCTGTTGTTCGGGAAAGAGGAGACAAAGTCCGGTTTTTCGAAAGCAACGATGGTGGCGGTGGCATTTCACCAGATCTGGCTAGGGAGGTGTGATGTGTCACTGCAAAAAACAAGGAGGTTTCTGGTTCGGAAGGTGCTTCGGAGGATAAATGTGGAGTTCAACAAACACATCAGGATCTACTGTAGCAGGCCTAGCAAACAGGCACGGAGGGATAAGGCGAGGTGGAATCTGGCGGAAGACGAAGCACGTGTTATGAAGCGGATATGTGACAACGGGGCAATTGGGCTGAGGTGGCAGGATGGTTTCCAGTCCGTATGGACGAATCCGAGGACCTTCACGAAACCGCCGTAAACCCGTAGGGAGGGCTAGGTTCCACCTGGCTCGAGCCCTACAGACACAGTTATGACTGTAGTGTTTTGCTTGTACTCCCGTTTGTATAAGCTTTCACTAAAAAAAAAAAAAAAAAAAAAAAAAAAAAAAAAAAAAAAAACAGCCACTGATGCACCAGCAAGACAAGTATTAAGCAAGCAGGGGTTCGTATTCTCATTCACCAGTCTACACTGATCCAGTTGCTGCGAATTCTTATAATCAGCCTTCGACTTCCTACCGTCGTCTACTCTTAAGGCCGTGGTTACTTACTGTTTGAATCGTCTCGAGTGCTCCCTGAAAGTCCTTCGATCCCTACACTAAGGCCAGTCCGTTTCCGCTACTTCATCCGTCAACGAAATGGCCTGCGTCGGTGCTGCGAGTGCCTGCGTGGACGTTGACGCGCTCTTCTCGCATCACTGGGAGAAGGATAACTCCCTGACTCGCTTCGTCTGCAGCCTGGTCTCCCTTCCACTCCTGGTAAGAAGAAAGTTCTACCTCCTCCTTTCCGATTTTGTGTATGTCATCGCGCAGACGCCTCCTTTTTGTCACAAATTATCTTAGTATCTGGAGCTGAAACTAAATTTGATCACCTTTATCTTTGCAGGTCGACATCAAATGGACCTTTCAAGCAATCAGGTTGCAGCCAAGGCTGCTCTGTTCGTGGTTGAAGCTCCTGCTGTCAATGTTGAGATCCCTGCTGTCCCTGTGAACGTCCCTGCTACCTCTGTGGAAGTTCCTGCTGAGCTGGTGGAAGCTGCTGCTTGCTGCGCTGAACCAACTGCTCTGTCAACTGAGATCGTTCCTACACCTCGCTGCTCGGACGCCACAACCCGCTGCTCGGCTGTTGCAACCCGCTGCTCGGCTGTTGCAACCCGCTGCTCGGCTGTTGCAACCCGCTGCTCGGCTGTTGCAACCCGCTGCTCGGCTGTTGCAACCCGCTGCTCGGCTGTTGCAACCCGCTGCTCGGCTGTTACAACCCGCTGCTCGGCTGTTACAACCCGCTGCTCGGCTGTTGCAACCTGCTGCTCTGCTGAAGCGCAGTTCGGTTCAACGAGTTCAATCTGCTCAGCTGAGGAGGCGTGGTGGTTGGGCTCGGATTCAGAGGTGATAACTTCTTCGTTCCTGGTTGCAGAGGCGTGTGAGGAGGTGGTGATGGGTTCAGAGGCACAGCACGGTGTGATGATGGGCTCAGGGGTGATGACGGATGCAGAGGCAGAGCGGTGTATGGAGATGGGTGCAGAGGCAAACAGCAGGCGGTGCAGCCTGAGTCGGACTGAGAGCAGCTGCAGCAGCCGCAGTGCGTGTCTCATTGACCTCACCTGGGATAGCTGCTCCTCCTCCTCTGCCAGTAGCCTCTGCAGTGCAAAGTCTGACTTGATTAATGAGGAAACGAGTGTGAAGAGGGGGATTGGGCGAGGCAATCACAACAGTGGAAAGGGATGGAGTGTGGAGATGAAGGGGGTTGGCAAGGCTGAGGGAGGGGTTACTCACTGGAACCAGCTCTATGGGAATGATGATGAGGGTGAAGATGACAGCAGCAGAAGGGGCTACACGACCTATGGGGCAGGGAATGTCTACTACATGAATCAACTGTACATGGATGAGGAGGATGAGGAGGAGAGGAGGACACTGGCATCCTCAGGGTTTGCTGTTGGCATCGGGAGGTTCGGTGGACGGCGGCGAATAACGGGTTCGAGCAGCAAGGTCGCTCTCCGTCGGATGAGCAGCGTGCTGAGACAAATGTAGTTTAGACATCCTGCCTTAATTTTGTTAGCAGTTGTGGCTATAACCAAAGAATCTTGTAAATTATTAATAAACAATAATATTACCGTATTGCTTTGTGAGTTCTTGCAAACATTACCCTCACAGCTCATTCCAAGCCAATGCAAGAGGCGTCTGTACTGCAGTCTCCATGTCCAGATTGCAAGAATGTCAGGCATGCTGTTCTTAGTAACTGAGAACAGCGGAATGGCTTGCATTGATTGAGTTGGGGTACAAGTACCTAACCCTATCTGTTTGTACCCCATATAGTATGACCCACTAAGGGCTATAACATTTGACACACCCCCATAGCCTAAGTGGGGAATGCCAAGTAACAGAACACAACCTAAGGTCACAAGACCAGTCACAAGCAAGCGAGAAAACAAAGCTCAGGGTGGATCTCAACGTCACCACACATTCTGAGCACAAACAAGGGGCCACAAGGCCAGTTCAAGAGTGTACAAGCTAATATATATATGGTACAAACAAACAAGAGGCAAGAACTCACTACTGCAGTCTACTAGACCCAGTCTCAACAAGGCCTAACTGCAGACAAAACCGGCGGTGGTCACAAGGCTGAAGAGCCTTGGTGAAGATGTCTGCAGTGTTGGCCTCGGAGGCCACAAAGTCCAGACGTGCCTGTCCACGTCTCTGCAACTCTCGAAGGAGGAAGTACCTGACGTCGATATGCTTCACCCTGCTCTCCAGTCGAGGCTCACGACACAGGAGAATCATCGCCTTGTTGTCAGCAAACAAGGTCGGTGCAGAGCTCGGCCGCTCACCAAGGTCAGTGAGCAAGAAGGTCAACCAGCGTAGCTCCTGTGCAGCGAGGGCTCCAGCGTAGATCTCGGCCTCTGCGGTAGAAGTCGCAACAGAGGAGGACCGAGTAGACCTCCACGAAACAGCTCCAGAGCCCAGGCTGAAACAGTAACCCTGTGTAGACCTCTGTGACTCAACGTCGTCGGCGTAGGAGGAGTCGCAGTGACCGGTGAGTACAACTGGCTGTGTCCCTCCAAGTACAAGCCCCATGTCTGATGTCGCGCCGAGGTACTTCGCCACCCTCTTAGCCGCCGCCCAGTGAACAGGACGGTGTCTCCCTGTCGCAACAAAGCGAGAAAGGATGCTAAGAGGGAAGGCGAGGTCCGGGCGAGTGCACGTCATCAGGTACATGAGGCAGCCCACCAACTCTGCGTAGGGACCACTGGGCTCGAACGGCTCGTCAGGAAAAGGCCCAGTGAGTCTGTGGTCTACAGCAAGAGGGGTGGGAGGAGGAGAGGAGTGCTGAAGCCCGAACCACTGAAGGACCTGCTGCACCATGTGTGACTGAGTCAGAGTGATGGTGCGAGCGGCTCTGTCCCTGGAGATCTGCAGGCCAAGGTAGCGGCGCAGTTCCCCAAGGTCAGTGCAGGTGTGTCTCTTCTGCAGTTCGGACTTCACCTCCGCCAGTGCGACTGTGTCGGCTGTGGCAAAAACCAGGTCGTTAATGTAGACAAGAACAAAGAAAGGTGTGCGCCCACGACGAACAAACAGCGACGGGTCGGCGGAAGACGGCTCAAACCCAAGGTCGGACAGAGTAGAGCGGAGAGTGTCGTGCCACTCACGGGGTGCCTGGCGGAGACCGTAGACCGGTCGTCTGAGGCTCCACTGGGTCCCAGGCGGGAAAGTGCCAGTGAAGCCCGAAGGACAACGCAGCCAGATCTCCTCGTGTAGGCTGCCCTGAGGCAGTGGAGAAGTCGAGAGAGTGTAGCTCGTAGTCTCTCTGCGCTGCTACGTGCAGTAACACCCGAAGAGTGGTCATCTTCGGGGTGGGCGCAAAGGTCTGAAAGAAGTCAACTCCCTCACGCTGACTGAAACCTCTAGCCACGTAGCGTGCCTTGAAGACTGGAGGAGATCCCGGCGGCCGCTTCACCTTGAAGATCCACATGCCGTCAACAATGTTCGCCCCTGGGGGGGGAACCTCGTCAACGTAAGTGCCTGTGGACCTGTAGGAGGCCATCTCTGCGTCCATGGCAGCTCTCCACTGAGAGGCCCAAGGCCCTGACACTGCCTCAGCGTAAGTGCGAGGAGTAGGTATGTCAGGAGCGTCGGGGTCTCCCTCAGGAGCGAGCAGCATGGCACAGAGATGAGGTGAAGCGGCTGCCAGGAACTCTAGCTCAAACTGTCTATCCTCTAGGACGGCACAGCCAAGGGCAGACTCACCCCCGGCGGACAGAGGACGGACAGGAGGAGCCGCCACAACGCGAGTGGCGTAGTCAAGGCGACGCGTAGCAGTAAAGTCTGTGACAGCGGCAGTGAGGACCGCGACGGAGGAAGGAGAGGCACGAGGGTCTGTAACAAGAGAGGCGAGAACACGAGAGAGAGTGGGGCGGTACGTGCGGTAGTAGTCAGTGACCGGAGTGGACAGGGAGGCAGTGAGGGACGACTCAGGAGGACGAGGAAGAACAGACGGAGGAGAACGAGGAGGACTAGGACGAAACAACACGGTACGAAGGTCACGGACAGGTGACGAGGGACGAGCACGAGGAGGACGAGAGGCCCAAGTGTGGGAGAGAGGAGTGGGAGACGGAGCGGGAGACGGAGGAGACTGAGAACGAGGGAACACAGCCGGAGCTGAGTCCGGAGGAGGAAACGTCGGACCGAACACAGGAGGAGAGGAGGAGGGGAGACCAAGGGCCCGAAGGCCAGTAACAGAGGCCGGAGGCTGCTCCGGCTGCTGCGGCGGCTGCTGCTGCTGCTGCTGCTACTGCTGCAGCTCCTGCTGCAACTCCAGCCTCTCACGCTCCACCCGCTGCTGAACCTCCAACCTCTCACGCTCCAAACGCTGCTGCTCCTCACGCTCAAGACGAAGACGGGTCTGGTGTCGAGTCAGGTAGGGGTGAGGAGGAGGAGTGGTGTCAGGAGACGAAGAAGAAGAACCGGCTCCGCCCTCGACAGCACCCGGCTGAGAACCCCCAGAGCGTGTACCCCCTGCGGCAGCACGACTAGCACCTGTAGGAGGTGGACCCGCACCCCCAGTCGGGGTGCCTCCAGTGGCACCAGCACCAGCCTCAGACTCTCCAGCTCCAGAAACACCACCAGCTCCAGCACCACCACCAGCTCTCGCACCCTCGGAACGGGCAGCCGCGGCAGGTGCACGCTCAGCGCCAACGCCAACACCCCCAGAACGGGCGGCTCCTGTAGGTGCACGAACAGCTCCAACGCCAGCACCCCCAGAGCGAGCA